TTTCTTGGTGACTATGGTCCCAACTGCCTTGAGATCATTGCCAAGATCCTCCCGTGTAGTTCTGGGCTGATTCCTCACCGTTCTCAATGTCATTGCAACTCCACGAGGTGAGATCTTGCATGGAGCCCCAGGCCGAGGGAGATTGACAGTTATTTTGTGTTTCTTCCATTTGCGAATAATCGCACCAACTGTTGTCACCTTCTCACCAAGCTGCTTGGCGATGGTCTTGTAGCCCATTCCAGCCTTGTGTAGGTCTACAATCTTGTCCCTGACATCCTTGGAGAGCTCTTTGGTCTTGGCCATGGTGGAGAGTTTGGAATCTGATTGATTGATTGCTTCTGTGGACAGGTGTCTTTTATACAGGTAACAAACTGAGATTATGACCACTCCCTTTAAGAGTGTGCTCCTAATCTCAGCTCGTTACCTGTATAAAAGACACCTGGGAGCCAGAAATCTTTCTGATTGAGAGGGGGTCAAATATTTATTTCCCTCATTAAAATGCAAATCAATTTGTAACATTTTTGACATGCGTTTTTCTGGATTTTTTTGTTGTTATTCTGTCTCTCACTGTTCAAATAAACCTACCATTAAAATTATAGACTGATCATTTCTTTGTCAGTGGGCAAACGAACAAAATCAAATACTTTTTTCCCTCACTGTACAACCTACTGTGTTTGTCAAATAACGATGCCGGACTAGTTTGTGTGGATGCGGATAGATTTGCAGCGTTGTGCTTTGTTTGACAGTGCTGCGCGCTGCCGCGTATATGCGTATATTTCTGCCATGAAGTGACAGGCCTTTCAGCGAATGAAATAAGCGGGAGATAGGCAGGACTTTCCAGCCTTCAGTGCAGTGGCTATGTAATGTAATCCGACACCAGATTCACTTGTTACTATAGTTTATAAACTCACTCGCTGGGCTGAAGAGACTGAGATTCATAAGCGAATAAACATTGGTAAAACAATTAAAATACACAGACACTCCCCAAATTGACCTTTATTGTAATACATCATGACTTGTGTTTAGCAAAAAGCACTGTATAAATAAATGTCTAGTAGATGGCTGTATCCTTACCTATGTGTTATAAAAGCCAATCTAATGTCTTGTTAGGCTGTATTGTAGCCTAGAGTCTTAATGTTCCCCGAATACCGCTTCACTAATTAGTCTACTAGGCCTATAGTAGGAATGAAATATATTTCATACAATCTACAGCCAAAATATTAGGCCCAACTGTCAGATCTATGTCAGTGTTGTGTGTGTCTTTCTCTGTTTTCTTCCTACCTCCACTGCACAATGGCAGTTGATCTATCATTCCTCACAAACACAGCACCTGGACCAGCAGAACCAGAACTTTTAGCAAATCATTTGGTTACTTTCACACATTTAGCAGCATCGGCCTTTTTGGTCTCTAACTTTTTCAGCACCACAGTTCAGTTTTTCTGTTTTGACTGAGTGACTGACAGAGTCAGAATGGGTCTCACTCTCTTTGATGATGCGCATTTGACTTTGGCTGTGAATTTGCTCGACCTCAGCTCAGCCAATCAGAAAACCGGTCCATCTTGGCAGTGGGTCAGCCATTGCCCCCTGGTCAGACAAATGCTCAGTATAGAAGATTATGACAACAGAGATATAGCACAAAAATCATTTAAAAAACATGCTCATGGGCCGCCGGCCGTGTCCATTTAAATATATATATATATATATATAGTCAATTTCGACCAGCCCACCTTAATAAAAGATGGCCTGAATTTGCCAGAATTGCCAGATAGCCAATCCGCCCATCTTTGTTATGGTCATGCTTTAGTATTTGTTCAGAAGAGAAGGGATTTAAATTGATTGTTTTCTAAATGATGCCATATTAATATAAGAATGAATATTTGTTCAAAAGAGTTGAGGGAAAGATTCTTTCAAACATTTTTAGTTCAGAAGTTAAGCTAAGGATTTGAGGCATGACCAACAAGCCTTATAGAATACTCTGACAGATAGTCCCCCTCATTTTTCACAATTATTTACATTTTGAATATTGATTTGATTCCAAGAGAAATACCCTTCCATTAAAATCCAACTAATGCATGTTGTGTTTTTATAATAAGATAAACACACATAAAGATAATCATTGTAAATGAAACAGCTTGTTTGCTTTCCCTCTGGAGCCTGGGAATGCACTAATCTTAAAATAAACACCTTCAGAATGGTCTGTCCAGAACCTAATTTTTGGCTCAGTGACCAAGAATGGATGGAACTGGTGTTGGGGACATTTTTGTCTCCATAGCAGACGATCAGACCTTACACAAGCTCCGTTCCCCAGTCTCTAGACTGATCTCTCCCATGGTCCCCCATCTGCCTCTAGCTATTCCTCTGCCATGCACCCTATATTACACCCTACCTTCACAGTCCCAGTGTCCTTATGTGGTATTACATGTGTTGCAAATACTGTCCCAATAGTTCATTGTGTTGCCCTTTCCCTTAGTGATAACTTGGCAGAGCAAATGGTACCGGTAGTCTTATCAGTACTCTTTAGTCATCCTCTATTTTAACTGGCCACTTCAGCGACAGGGACATGGCTGCCAACCTCTGGGTGCAGAAGAGGTGCTTATCTCTCTGTTGATAAGGGAGAACCCTGCCATTATGGCCTTACATGGGTCTCCATCCTGCAGTAGTCACACTCCAAACAATAGACAGACTGATACAGACACAGGCTGGGGGAGATGGAGTGACGGGGTCTAGACAGAGGGAGAAAGGGAGAGTGCAAAAGAGAGACGATAAGCAAGGTATAATTTATTTGGGATTGTCATTTCGTCACGCAGCCCTATGAGACTGCTTCACGTCGTGATGGTTGCTGCTGCTGTCTATTTTACAGTTTCACCATATCGCAATAGCACAAAATGTTCAATATATTTTATTTGAAAGAATATCTTTTGTTTTCTATTATTTCTTCATGAGAAATGCATCAGGCTGACCCAGGACCCAGTGCAGTGGTGGAGGTATGGGTCAGACGAGTTTGAAGTGGATGGAGCACAGGGCTTAGCATGTCTCTCGAGGAGGCTAAAAATAGATTTTGGCTTGGAAAAGTTGAATATTTTCAGAAGGAGTCAGGTAATTGGTTAAGGGAGGATTGGAGGGAAAGAGAGAGGAGGTTGAAAAGACTGAGGGAGGCAGAGGAAGAGTTTGAATCTGTTGAAGCTAGCAATAACAAGAGAGAGGGTATGTAAGTCCCCTGTAGCTCAGTTGGTAGAGCATGGCGTTTGCAACGCCAGGGTTGTGGGTTCGTTTCCCACGGGGGGCCAGTATGAAAATGTATGCACTCACTAACTGTAAGTTGCTCTGGATAAGAGCGTCTGCTAAAATGTTTAAAAAAACATAATTTTTTTTGAGGAAGATTGCTGTCAAGTTAAAACAGAGTGAGCCGGATGACAGTTTGAGTTCTGGAGGTGAAATAGAAGGTGTTGTGAGGAGCTTGATGCCTGAACCTTGTATTGATGGAAATGGTTATGATAAAGATACATTTGGTCCAGTGGGAGTGATATTTTTGAAGAGGGTGGAACCAGGCCTTTTGGCTGATCCATGGGTGGTTTCAGGTTGGGTGGAAAAGATGGTGGGTGCTGTTGAGTTGGTGAAGGTAACCCAAAGTGGACTTGTAATGTTTATTTGTGAGCTTTGATTCAGAGTCTTTACCTGACAAAGTAATGTTACGATAAATGAGTTATTCTGTTAGAGCTTTTGTGTCGAATCCACTGCGGTGTTATAGGTGTTACTTTTATGGGCATGTCGCAGTAGTGTGTAGGAGGGAGATTCCAAGATGTGGAAAGTGTGCAGTATGGAATGTGTAGTTTTGGTGGGAAAAGTTGTGTGTGTCAACTGTAGAGGTGCCTATGTTGCTGTGGATCGGAGGTGTCCGGTGCGAGAGAGGCAGGTTGAGGTGGCCAGTGTCAGAGTAGTGCAGAAGATGTCGTATGCTGAGGCAGTGAAGAAAGTAGAGGAGGGTGGATTAAGGGTGAGGGATTCTGAGAGGATCCCTGTGAATAGTAGATCTGTGCCAGAACAGAGGGATAGGCCAATGAGTGATATAAGTTTCAGTAAGGTTGGTTTCTTAGTGTTCATAGCAATGGTTATCAACTGTACTGTAGAGATGGAATGTAAGTCACAGAAAATAGAAGTTGTGGTGGCAGCTGCAGAGATTTCAGAAGTTTTCACAGGGTGTGTTGAGTGGTAGTGTCCCGTCCTCTCAGGCAGTTGGCCTGGGGTAGGATCAGAAAGGGTTAAAGTAGTGGAATAAGGTGGTGGGTTTTAAAGAGTATATATATTTTTTATTTTTCCTGGTTCCCCTTTCCCATTTTGTATCACAAACAGTGGTGTAAAGTACTTAAGTAGTTTTTTGGGGGTATTTGTACTTTACTTTACTACAATTTATATTTTACTTTTACTTCACTACATTCCTAAAGACAATTATGTACTTTTTACTCCATACATTTTCCCTGACACCCAAAAGTACTTGTTACATTTTGAATGCTTAACAGGACAGGAAAATGGTCTACTTCACACACTTATCAAGAGAACATCCCTGGTCATCCCTACTGCCTCTGAAATGGCGGACTCACTAAACACATGCTTCGTTTGTAAATTATGTCTGCGTGTTGGAGTGTGCCCCTGGCTATCTGTAAATAAATAAAAACTAGAAAATAGGGCCGTCTGCTTTGCTTAATTTAAGGAATTTTAAATTATTTATACTTTTACTTTTACTTTGATACTTAAGTATATTTAAACCCAAATATGTTTTGACTTTTACTCAAGTAGTGTTTTACTGGGTGACTTTCACTTTTACTTGAGTCATTTTCTATTAAGGTATCTTTACTTTTACTCAAGTATGACAATTGGGTACTGTTTCCACCACTGATCGCAAAGTCTAATGGATTTATACTATAGTTCAGTTGGTGGCGGTAATGCAACATATTGGATGCTAACCCGCCGTTAAACTCCACTGAAGAAGAAGAAGAAGAAGAAGAAGAAGAAGCAGCAGAGGTATTTAAAAAAAATATCACACTGCTGTCAAGGCAACGGAACTCATGTAGTTAGCTAGCTAACGTTAGCAGGGCAGTGAAAATAGATGAAATCATGCTGCAAAATGTGAAAGTCATATATTTTAGCCATCATTTGCTTGCTAGAGCAAATAGCTTGTAGCGTTTGCCACGTGAGGGGCGAACTTTAGCAACTCATTGCAGCTGAAGTTAGCTAGCTAGCTAGCATAACAAGTTTGTCACAGACAAAAGGGGAAACCAGTATCTTTTAGTTTGTTTTCATTTTGTGAAAACAATATATTTTCTAGGTATTAGCTAGTTAACTATGGCAAGTAAAAAGCTCAGAAGAACAGGTGTGTCACTCGAAGTATGCGAACGACTCAAGCGCCACCAAATCGAAACTTGCCAGGTAAGAGATCGTGACATTCGGTGTTGCTGCTAACGTTCTGGATTACAAGTTTATATCATGTGAAATGTTACCATTATCGAATATTGTCATATCAAAGAATAGATGGAGTAGAAACGAGATGCCTTTCGCAACTGTGACTACTATGCTCCTTGTCACCAGCACCTGCTGTCCCTCACACCTTTAGAGGTGATGCGCCTCGCCGGGCAGAGTTACCAACAGGTGTTGATGATGCTGCAATCAGTCAGTCAGGCCTGTGCCCCCTCAATGACCACGGTAAGTCAACAACAACATCACTAGTGTCACTGTCATACGTCACTGTTCTGTCTCATGAAATTGTTCTTCTTCTTCAGGCCTTGGAGGTGTGGAAGCAGAGGGCTGACCTATGTTTCTCCACATCACTACCTGCCCTGGACAGACTGCTCCAGGGAGGGCTACCACGGGGGACACTCACAGAGGTTGTACACCTTCCTTACTGGCTATAGAGATGGTGGTGGTGGTGATGAGGTTTATAATGGTGAAGGAGATAGAGAGAGAAAATGTATCACAAACTTCCTTTCCCTCTTTCAGGTGACTGGCCCCTCAGGTTGTGGGAAGAGCCAGATGTGTATGATGCTCAGTGTGCTGGCCACTCTGCCAAAGTACATGGGCGGCCTCGACAGCGGAGTCATCTACATAGATACAGAGTCGGCTTTCTCAGCAGAGAGGTGATTGGGACTTACTTTCATCACCCTCCTTTTCTCTTCTCCCCTCCTGCATATTTATTATCTTGTCATATCTTTTATAATCTTCTATTATGTAATATCTTCTGTAATCATGTTATCTTCTTTGTCTTATAAATGCATTGTGTGGCCTAAAATGTTATGTTCTTGGCTCATCCTTCTTCCAGGTTAGTGGAGATTGCTCAGAGCAGGTTTCCAGACTACTTCTGTAAGAAGGAGCGTGTGTTGGAGATGGCTGGACGTGTCCACCTTTTTTGGGAGCTCACGTGTCAGGATGTCCTGGACAGGTACAGGCCGCCATGTTGCTTTCAGTCTCTCTGAAATGTGTCATTCACCCTTCTCCTCTCACCTCAAGCACGTTCTGGCCCCATGAAGCATTTTGGGTCATGGCGAACTGTTTGAAAGGTACTGTGTCTAATACTGATATTGGTATTGATAAAGTTTTGTTTTGGTTCCTTTCAGACTGGAGAGGCTGGAGGAGGACATCATCTCCTCCAAGGCTGGGTTGGTGATTCTTGACTCAGTGGCCTCAGTGGTGAGGAAGGAGTATGACACAACACTGCCTGGGAACCTCACTCACCGCAGCAACCTGCTGGGCAAGGAGGCTGCCACCCTCAAATACCTGGCTCAGGCCTTTCACATCCCTGTGAGTGTGTGTGTGTGTGCAGGGGTTAAATTGGGCCGGGTCCGAGTCACGGCACCTATGATCCAAATGAGAGCCAGGTGGAGCTGAGACCTGGTACCTGCTTTGGTTATTTGAATTGTTCTCCACATTTCATTTTCCACAGCCAAAAATACGAGTAAGCAACACCAAAATTAGACAACCCCATAGTAGAATAGTTTACCTATTCAATTGTTCAGCCTGTCGCATTCTTTGCGAGAAAATAATATTAATCTCGAGGCACATTCAAATTGCGAGTGCCGCACAGGGAAAGAAATATGCATGCCCAGTCATTGTACAACATTCTTAATGCAGTCGCGGGAAAACGCACCTTTTGAAAGCAGGTTTGATGGCAACTGTTAAAAGAGGAGGATAACCGATTTTTTTCGAGTGTTACTAGGCTTTTTTGAACCAGAGTTTTTAGCAGAGGCATGGTTTATGCGGTTAGCGTTCGCCGTTGGGTTGAATGCATAGGGAAGACTGGCGCTAAAAGTAACAAGGATCAGGTGTAACATATTATATTATATTCACTGTACATGATCCTTGGCTGAGTGCCAGTGGAATGTTTTTTTTGGGACATTCAAGTCATCAATATGTTGCTAACTAGCAACAAGATAGCCTAATGTTTAGAGTTTGTGATCTAGCTAATGATTAGACCAATGGGGTAAATGGAGATGGGCAAGCCTCAGCCTAGTTATTTATAGCCACTGTGCTGCATCAGATGGGCTATATCAGGTGATAATGCTAATTGCTAAGTAGCACACCTGACTGATAATATGGACCAATATGTTATTGGGCTAATTTCTGGAGGGGGACATTATATTTTAGATGTCAGCATCATTTTATTTTCCTTCATTTTGCATTATAATGTCATTTTAGAAAGTAACCAGAACTGACTTTCTCACAGTCATTCTCCCCCTCCACATTTTTTATTAGGTCCCTCCACAACCTTAGGCTAGTATATATTACCCCCCCAACCCTCGGGCACGCCCCCGAACTAGGGAGCTCCCAAATCCCAATTTAACCAGTGTATGAAAGAGAGAGGGAGGGTCGTGAGGGTATTTAAAAAGTACTGTGAAGACTGTTTTTTAAAAATTGAACCATCACATCGTTAGGCCCTTGCAGAACGGCCATTCAGCCACTAGATGTCAGCATTAATACATTTACATTTTAGTCATTTAGCAGACGCTCTTATCCAGAGCGCCTTACAGTTAGTGAGTGCATACATTTTTTTCTTCCCATACTGGCCCCCCGTGGGAATCGAACCCACAACCCTGGTGTTGCAAGCGCCATGCTCTACCAACTGAGCTACACGGAGCCATAATACATCAAGTAATCCAAGAGAAGGAACCGGCCCTCTGTGTGGGATTTGGAAGAAAAGGGCGAAAGGCAATAGTGCATTGCACTCTGTAGGAAATGTTTTCCTGAAATCTAAAACATCTAATCCATATCTCACAAGGAATAATACATGTGCCCTATTTGACCCCAATGCATCCTCGTTCTCATCAGTAACACAGCTCAACACTACATTTACATTTTAGCAGACGCTCTTATCCAGAGCGACTTACAGGAGCAATTAGGGTTAAGTGCCTTGCTCAAGGGCACATCGACAGATTTTTCACCTAGTCGGCTCGGGGATTAGAACTAGCGACCTTTCGGTTACTGGCACAACGCTCTTAACCACTAAGCTACATGCCGCCGCACTAGAGGACAGGAAAGCACTGAAGGTCCCTACTACAAGTGCTGGCCTAGCCAGCCTATTAGCACTGGGGATTGAAATCAGTTTGTAGTCTAAAAACCCAACTTACCCCTGAACTTTCCACTAGATACAAATCTGAAGTCACCCCCTCATTCCCTGGCCTGTGTTACTCAAGCTTTCTTCCTCAGTCTCCTGGGAGAGTGTATGAGTTCCAACATCCATTTCCCCACTAGTAACACAGGACTCTGACAGCCAGAGGTGAACAGGTGGCGTTTCTCACAGCTGTGGCCCAGGGGCTCTAGAGTCTGGCGCTTGTCCTTGTATAATAGTGATGGACAGCTTATTTATTGGTGGCTATTTTTATATGGCTGCAAAGGATGCAGTGGCCACGTCAGAATGCCATGACTGTATTTACACGTTAACATACCTGACTATACAAAGCAACAAGATCATCCCGATAGTTACTAAACACTAAGCTTCTGCTTAATACTATAAAATAAAATAAAAAAATCACCTTTATTTAACCAGGTAAGCCAGTTGAAAACAAGTTCTCATTTACAACTGCGACCTGGCCAAGATAAAGCAAAGCAGTGCGATAAAAACAACAACACAGAGTTACATATGGGGTAAAACAAAACATAAAGTCAAAAATACAACAGAAAATATATATACAGTGTGTGCGAATGTAGTAAGTTATGGAGGTAAGGCAATAAATAGGCCATAGTGCAAAATAGTTACAATTTCGTATTAACACTGGAATGATACAGTGGGGAAAATAAGTATTTAGTCAGCCACCAATTGTGCAAGTTCTCCCACTTAAAAAGATGAGAGAGGCCTGTAATTTTCATCATAGGTACACGTCAACTATGACAGACAAAATGAGAAGAAAAACAATCCAGAAAATCACATTGTAGGATTTTTAATGAATTTATTTGCAAATTATGGTGGAAAATAAGTATTTGGTCAATAACAAAAGTTTCTCAATACTTTGTTATATACCCTTTGTTGGCAATGACACTGGTCAAATGTTTTCTGTAAGTCTTCACAAGGTTTTCACACACTGTTGCTGGTATTTTGGCCCATTCCTCCATGCAGATCTCCTCTAGAGCAGTGATGTTTTGGGGTTGTCGCTGGGCAACACAGACTTTCAACTCCCTCCAAAGATTTTCTACGGGGTTGAGATCTGGAGACTGGCTAGGCCACTCCAGGACCTTGAAATGTTTCTTACGAAGCCACTCCTTCGTTGCCCGGGCGGTGTGTTTGGGATCATTGTCATGCTGAAAGACCCAGCCACGTTTCATCTTCAATGCCCTTGCTGATGGAAGGAGGTTTTCACTCAAAATCTCACGATACATGGCCCCATTCATTCTTTCCTTTACACGGATCAGTCGCCCTGGTCCCTTTGCAGAAAAACAGCCCCAAAGCATGATGTTTCCACCCCCATGCTTCACAGTAGGTATGGTGTTCTTTGGATGCAACTCAGCATTCTTTGTCCTCCAAACACGACAAGTTGAGTTTTTACCAAAAAGTTATATTTTGGTTTCATCTGACCACATGACATTCTCCCAATCCTCTTCTGGATCATCCAAATGCACTCTAGCAAACTTCAGACGGGCCTGGACATGTACTGGCTTAAGCAGGGGGACACGTCTCGCACTGCAGGATTTGAGTCCCTGGCGGCGTAGTGTGTTACTGATGGTAGGCTTTGTTACTTTGGTCCCAGCTCTCTGCAGGTCATTCACTAGGTCCCCCCGTGTTGTTCTGGGATTTTTGCTCACCGTTCTTGTGATCATTTTGACCCCACAGGGTGAGATCTTGCGCGGAGCCCCAGATCGAGGGAGATTATCAGTGGCCTTTATGTCTTCCATTTCCTAATAATTGCTCCCACAGTTGATTTCTTCAAACCAAGCTGCTTACCTATTGCAGATTCAGTCTTCCCAGCCTGGTGCAGGTCTACAATTTTGTTTCTGGTGTCCTTTGACAGCTCTTTGGTCTTGGCCATAGTGGAGTTTGGAGTGTGACTGTTTGAGGTTGTGGACAGGTGTCTTTTATACTGATAACAAGTTCAAACAGGTGCCATTAATACAGGTAACGAGTGGAGGACAGAAGAGCCTCTTAAAGAAGAAGTTACAGGTCTGTGAGAGCCAGAAATCTTGCTTGTTTGTAGGTGACCAAATACTTATTTTCCACCATAATTTGCAAATAAATTCATAAAAAATCCTACAATGTGATTTTCTGGATTTTTTTTCCTCAATTTGTCTGTCATAGTTGACGTGTACCTATGATGAAAATTACAGGCCTCTCTCATCTTTTTAAGTGGGAGAACTTGCACAATTGGTGGCTGACTAAATACTTTTTTTTCCCCACTGTAGATGTGCAAAAGATGATGTGCAAATAGAGATACTGGGGTGCAAATTAGCAAAATAAATAACAATATTGGGATGAGGTAGTTGGGTGGGCTAATTTCAGGTGCAGTGATCGGTAAGCTGCTCTGACAAACGTATACTTAAGCAATAAGGCATGAGAGGGTGCGGTATATGGCCAATATACCACGGCTAAGGGCTGTTCTTATGCACGACGCAACGCGAAGTGCCTGAATACAGCCCTTAGCCCTGGTATATTGGCCATATTCCGCAAACCCCCGAGGTGCCTTATTGCTATTATAAACTGGTTGCCAACGTGGCATACCCGTGGCTTTCAGCCAATACAATGGCTTTCAGCCAATTAGCATTCGGGGCCGAACCACCCAGTTTATAACACACTACACTATATTCTACGCCAGGGGGATTCAAATCTTACCCTACGAGCGAGGTCCGGAGTCAGTCTACTGCTAGTTTTCTGTTCTACCTGATAATAAATGTCCTAGGTCTAAATCAGTCCCTGATTAGAGAGGAATAATGAGAAGGAAGGTCCATGTTTCCAATTTGAGGGCTCTAAGCCTATCCTATACTATTTTTTTTTATTTTTTAGTCATTTAGCAGACGCTCTTATCCAGAGCGACTTACAGTTAGTGAGAGCATACATTTTTCATACTGGCCCCCTGTGGGAAACGAACCCACAACCCTGGCGTTGCAAGCGCCATGCTCTACCAACTGAGCTACAGGGGACTAAACATCTGAGCTCATTCATTACGTATTTGCTAGCTAACTTGTCTTCTTTGTTTTGTCTGTGTGCCTTTGTGATCATTAGGCTTTGGTTTAAGTCATATGCTATTTTCCACACCCGTGTTTTGGCATACAAGCATGTTGTGGTTCATGTGAGGGCTGTCTGGACTTGACAGAGCGTGTTACCTTCACCCCCTCCATATTATTAACTGAAATGTGCCCTGACAAGAAACCACAGTGAGGTTAGCCTACCTTGCTAGTGGCCCACTGATTATTTTATAAGGGCTATCATGATTAAACAAGTAAAGACTTTTGTTATTAGCACCCAGGGCCAAACCAACCAGGTTGTTACATTTACTAGTTGTTGTTTTTATGTATGACACGGTGCCAAATTTTGCGAGACTGGATGACTGGTAGATTGGAGCCCTTTGCTTCCATTCCGCTCCTAGGTTGTGTGGAATTGTTGATTTGGTGTGAGTTTACTAGATGTACAGGTGTAAGATCTTAATTTGATCCTGCAATTCAGGACATGTAATACTTGTGGAGTATTTGTGGTTTAAAAAGACTTCTGAAGTTTGTAATTTCCACTTTGAAATGTCAGACTTTAATTTTCCTTGATGAAAAATGTATAAACCCCTACACAATTGTCCATTTAATTATAATCCACATAATAATTCACATTTCCTGTTGCTGCAGGTTATGCTGTAGCAAACTGGATCAAATTAACATCCTACATATGTTGCCTAGCTGAGGTTTCATAGTTTAACTGTGTTGTTTCTCTGGATTTCTACTAGTTAGAACAACACATGGGAGCACATTGCTTGCCCAAACATGAGTTTATTATTGGAGCCTTATTGTTGACATATGGACTTTGACTTATGTCAGCCGCAGTTGGCTCACAAGGCACTGTAGCTCTCTCAAGCCAGAGGCTGGAGGCTAAAGGACAATTAGGCCCTAGGCCTACGTCACATGAGCTATATCTGTTTTTATGAGTCTGTTGTATTGGCAACAGTTTTATCATGTTGGTATTTCATCAAGGCCAATTTGATTCACAAAGTGCTACATTGAGCCGCCAAAACTGATTATTCGAGGGAATTTACTGAAAATTCTGCTGTGTCAGACTTAGACCAGATGATATTCAGAATACATTTATCTCCGGCTTGGTTGGGTTTGGATTCAAATTGACCACCCATATTGTCTCAATGTTGTTGACCTCCAACCTACTATTGACCATCAGTCATATGAGGACAAGTAAAAACATTTTTAAGACATAATTTACCAGGACTTATCGAAAAAAGGGATTTGGTATATTTTGTGTTCATAATCTAAAGTATATTGCTTTCAGATACTGCCTAAAAACCATGAAATTAACATTTAGCGTGGCAAACCAGCACTCTGTGGAAGGTATTCTCTTCATGCTTCTCTATTTTCTCCCTCCTAGGTGGTCTTGACCAACCAGATCACGACACATGTGGGCGATCGAGGAGAGAGAGGCGCTGCGTCATTCAGGGGAGGTAAACAAAAACACAAACTAAATAGCCTCCATGTTAACTGATCACATCTGAATGTAACTACAATACTAACCATCCAATTAACCATCCATTGGATTCAACACATACTGATGTAGTGATGCACCGAGGATGTTTGTAGCAGGTCGCCTTGCGTGTGACGCTTTGAAACACATGGAGCGTCACTGATGGGTCACAGAGATTTGTTTGATCTCACTGTTTACCATCACCTTGGTAACATAGCTATTATATGACCTGTATCCAGTATTGTTATAATGTCCCCCTCTCCATCACTCCCTTAGCATAGCCTGTGTGTGGATATGTATCCGTGTCCCAGCGGAGTAGTCAGACCGGTGAATGTTGGGGCAACATTATGCTGAAGCTAGCCTTTGAGTAAAGGGATACGGGTTCTCTTACGTTATCTAATAGACACATGGCATTGACCTGTAACTGTACTCTCTCTTTCTCTCTCTGACAAACTACTCTCTCTCATTAAATACAGTGATTCCCCCTCGAGGAAGGGCTGCCTCTTTCTCTTTTCTCTCGCTTTCAATTTTTTCTCTCTCTCTCTCTCTCTTTCTTTCTTTCTTTCTCTCTCTCTCTCTCTCTCTCTCTCTCTCTCTCTCTCTCTCTCTCTCTCTCTCTCTCTCTCTCTCTCTTTCTCTCTCTCCATATGTCCTTAGATGGAGGGGTGAGGCGGGGGAGAGTTCAACAGTAGGGTATATCCGATTCACCCCTCTCTCTGCTCATGTAATCAGATTCACATCTCCCCTCCCCGGGTCGGACTCCTCTCTACCCCCGCCATCCCTCCCTTTCTTTCTCCCGCACCTTTTTTCTCCCCCTTTTGTCTCCTGCAGGCAGGTTTCTACCTATGCTGTTTTCAACCAGAAATCCCTGCATCTCGGGTTTCCAGTCAAATGTCAGGCTCCGTCACCGTCGTCTTTCTCCCATCGAGGGGCTCCTGGGATGTGGCTGGGGCGGCGAGCGTGATGCGCGTGATGGGAGAGGTCTGAAAAGGCCCTCTGTCTAGTCTGAGGAGAGGGAGAGGGGGAGTCTGGTTTCTACCTGATCTAGGATCAGTACTGTGACTCAGGTGGGCCTCAGGTAGCCTCTGGTACTGCGGAGGCCTGATGAGTGCGTAGAGAAACTACTAGGTAGAGATGGGTTGGTTGCTGGACTGACCTGTACACATGCTCTAGCCCAGCTATCAGTACAGAGAGAATTTATTGTTGAATTCATATGTCTGATTATTGCTATCGCTGTCATCCTTTGCTTGTCTTCAGTGTTATGTGCCAGAAGCTGAATGGTTAGCACTTACTGCTTCATTATTGAAATCTCCCTGAAAGAAATGGCCAGCATCTGTTTTTGTTTGTGCATGTCTGATATATTTATTTATATAGATATTTGTAATATTAGAGATGAAAATAGTTCAATCTCTGATGCCTTTGAGGCCTGTTCTAGCTCTCTGTGTTTAATCTAGTGAAACTGAAGTTGTCCAACTGAAGCTCTCTCTGACCTCATTTTGATGAAAACTCAATAGCCAGCCCAGTGCCAACAGTAGTTTGGTGCCAACAGTTGAGACAGGCGATGCCCAAGGCAGGGCATAGAAAATCCCACAAACCCTTAGCTGGCTGTGCTAGCTGTTCTCAATAGCAAGTGTAAAGCCTAAAGTAAAGTTATGGATGAGGGTTGGTGTTCCTAGTGTAATGGGGGAGAGGTCATCATGACAAGCGTTCATTTTGTCATAACATAAAGGAATGGTAAACATACTGTTGAAGCTAATCTCTCATGGAAGTGACATGAGAATTTAACTTCTGGGTAATCAAGATTATGTTGAAGCAGATGAATCATCTAAATATGGGTAGGGACTAGGGAGGAATCAACCACCTAAGGGAATCTTTGTGTGAGAAGGGAACTCATTACTTAACACTGGTAAGTAATGATACAGCCACCCCATGCATGGAGGGACTAGTTGCTGTGTGCATGCTCGTGAATGCTCTTGTGAAGTGTTACGTGTGTGTATGCGTGTGCACACCTGCCTCTATGTGGGGTGTTTGTGTGTAAATAAAAATAGCCTTTAATAGAGGCTAAACTGGGCCATCCGGTGTGGTTTAACCCCATGCTCCCTCTAGGGTTAGATGGGAGTGAAGGGGGCATAGGCCAGTCACTGTGGGAGAGCAGGGACCAGCGGACAGACAGTTGGCCTCTATTTGTCACGCAGCCAGGCCCAGCAGACAGACTGACTGACAGACAGACAGAAGGGCCCAGCGGACAGCAGACCTGGGTTCAAAATACTATTTGAAATAATTTCAAATACTTGAGCTGTGTTTGACTGAGCTTGCCTGGTGCAATGTAAACCCCACCCAGTTGGCACTCCAGGCAGGCTAAAGCAGACAAATAGTATTTGAACCCAGGTCTGCAATGAATGGAGAGACAGACAGCCTCTTTGTCAACAGCAGGTCCCAACGGACAGACATACAGACAGCCAGACATCCTCTCTTTATTAACAGCAAGGCCGAACGGACAGACATACAGACAGCCTCTCTTTGTCAACAGCAGGGCTCCTTCATTGACTGTGTGTGACAGAGGATGCAGTGATCCAAGCCCCTCAGCTCCTCCACTGCCTCTGATAGGAGAGCCACTGTGTGCAGCCAGCCAGCAACACACTGAGACACTTTTCCATGCCCTCACTCTGGGCTTTATCTACATGATTGTGATTTCCTTCTCCCCAACTGGTCGCCCTAATCGACCGCCCGTCTTACCCTCGAGGCTTGGTCACACACAGCCACACTGCACAGAGCTCTCCAGCCACTAGACCACGCCCGTCTTACCCTCGAGGCTTGGTCACACACAGCCACACTGCACAGAGCTCTCCAGCCACTAGACCAATAGGGTTTAGTAAGGGACAGAGGGTAAAGGAAAACAAAAGGCAGAGGGGGAGAGAGGGTTGTAGAACGAGAGAGATAAACAGATTGTGAGAAACAACTAGAGAAAAGTTGAATGGGATGCTGAGCGAGAGAGAGTTGTTGAGAGGGGAAAAAGGGGGATGTTGAAATCTGTACTGGACTGTATATTGGAGCCACTTCCTCCTCTTCTGCACAGCGGGGCAGCCTTTCCAGAGAGCTCTCTCTCTATCAGAGATGGCTATCCTCTCTGCAGCATATGGTATCCATTCTCTCTATTAGCATAGAGAGGGAAATGCGGTATGGTTTTCTCTGTCATACACTTCTTTCTTTGCGAGCTGGACAAGGCCTTTTAGCTATATACTAGTACTAGTAACACATGTACTTGGATGTTGTTGTTTTAAAACACTTTCATTGCACTTGGACTTATGGTGGCACTCAAGGAGCCATCCAGCAAGGTCAAGTCGTGACATAGATACTGTGTTGAAACACTGGACAGGATTTTGGACTCTACACTATCTGCTCTCTGTTCCTGTCCAGTTGTGGGAAAATGTGTGGGCTGCTGGCTTTGTAGGATCAGGGGAGGCTTAGGATGGGGGTTAGGGGTATAGAGTGAAGGAGTTTGTGCATGTGTGTTTCTGTGTGTCTGAGTGTGTGTGTGTGTGTGTGTTATGGTTTGGGTGTTTGTGTTAGAGGCCTGTCTAACAGGCAGAGGGGGAGCTAAGCAAAGAGGCTGATAGCCCCCCCCCCCCCCCATCCTTCTCCAGGGAGCTGTACAGCAAATGTCTGCAGAGCACATGGAGTTTGTTTAGTCTGCCTCTCAGTCCCTCCGGCCTTCTCTTTCCTTCTCTTTCCTTCTCTTTTCGTCTCTTTTGCCTCAGCTCCCAAACGTATGAGCCAGTTGTACACTGATTTATGTTAAAGAGCCCCAATGGTTAGCTAGATGCACTAAGGCCCAAATCTTAAGTTTCAGTTATATTCCACTTTGGTTTGACTCTGAAACTGCTGGTCTTATAGTACTGTATGTCTTGTCTTTGTCCCGTAGTTTATTCAGTCATATTAAACTGAATTGCCTTTAACCAGTGTTCCCTGTTCGTAGTACTACTCTAGTCTACTGTATGTCTCCTCCCTAGTATATTGTGATATTAAAATGAATTGTCTCTCTCTACTGCTGCTGCTCCTCCCGGCCGGGGGAACTTCCATCACATGGTTGTGTACCTATTTTATTTTCTCTGCCTTGCACACGTTTCCACAGGAAATGTTTTGAGGAAGTGAGAGTTGCTGATAGGACACTTGTGCGAGCAGAATCCCTGCTTACTCCATGGAAAAAACATCAAGGAAGGGAATAAAAAGGACACGGCAATATACACACACACGGGTACACAGGCACGTAAACGCACACACACACACGCTCGCAGACATACACACACACGTGCACGCTTGCGAACACATATACACACACACACACGCATCGCCACCCGCCAGGGCTCATCCTTCAGCAGACAGAATTAGCACTCCCAGGCCCAGCCAAGGTTTATTGGTGTCATGGGAGCAGAGGGAACCATGGTCACACAAAAGCAAGCGATAATAACAGTGTCAGGGGGCTGGGCCTGTCTTCTGGTTAATGGTCATTACACAGCCTGCAGGGTCACACACACACACAGTGGAAAGTGAGAATCATGGTGATGAATCAATGACGATACTTAAATTACCTATAGTCATACTTTTTTTCAGGCTTCATGGCAGTTTGTTTTGAATTTGCAGTTTCCAAATTGATTGCCATTTGCTAAGTTTCTGTATAGTCAGTGAGTCGTTCCACCTCAAAGCACAAGAAAGAGGATTTCGACAGTTTGTTTTGAATTTGCAGTTTCCAAATTGATTGCCATTTGCTAAGTTTCTGTATAGTCAGTGAGTCGTTCCACCTCAAAAAGCACAAGAAAGAGGATTTCGACATCCACCATCTCAGATTGTTCTGAAATCGTTTCTGTGGTTAAAAACAGATAAGATTAGCATTCGTGAAACATTATTTTGTTGAAATATAATTTGATCTCTGAGAAATTAAGGTAATTGATTGCACCCAAATTGGCAATTTTAATTTATAGTAGCTTGCATTCTATACCACAATTTATTTTCATCATGAGCAAAAGCTATTGGTTTTCTACCCAAAGTTGCAAAGAAAATGTTGTAATCCATTTAATAAACACAAGAGACCAGAAAAATGTATAGTGTGGCAGTAGCAGGTACAGCGGCATCTAGTGGGCAAAACTTGGTTCTTTCACACTAATTTATGGTATAGAATGCAAGCTTCAATGGCCAATTTCTTTGAACAGGGGGGAAAAAAACATCACCAGATTCACAGGGAGTACATAACAAAGGTTGAAGATGCAATACTCCAAGCAGCAGCTCCATACTACTTGTCAGACATAGAGAACTGATACTGTATACTGGTTGTTGGGGTGTGGGTTGTTTGTGGGTGGCTTTTGATAATTTTATTGGATTCGTCATGTCTTACTTATTGTTAGAAAGAATTATGGTCCGGCCACCCGAGTGGCGCAGTGGTCTAAGGCACTGCATCGCAGTGCTAGCTGTGCCACTAGAGATCCTGGTTCGAGTCCAGGCTCTGTCGCAGCTGGCCGCGACTGGGAGACCCATGGGGCGGCGCACAATTGTCCAGGTTAGGGGAGGGTTTGGCTGGCAGATAAGTTCTTGTCCCATTTCCTCCGACACATTGGTGCGGCTGGTTGGGTTGTGTTTCGGAGGACGCACGGCTCTCAACCTTCGCCTCTCCCGAGTCAGTACGGGAGTTGCAGCGATGGGACAAGACTGTAACTACCAATTGGATACCACGAAAAAGGGGGTAAACTATAGTTAGGTACTATAGTTATTGAATATTATATGAATCCTATAAATTATAATGGACAATTTGGGCGCAATGAATTAGCTTAATTTCTCAGAGATCAAATTATATTTCAACAAAATGTTTCAGGAATACTAATCTTATTTGATTTCAGAACAATCTGAGATGGTGGGTGTCATGTCTTGCTGAAATGACATGGAATGACCCCTGTATGAAATAAAGATAACACATCACACAAGTGTGAGTCTGCTGTTCAAAGTTGAACCCAACCCCTGTAATGTGTGTTTGTGTGTTGCAGCATCCGATGAGAGGGATTCTGAGTATGTGATGGCGGCACTGGGCAACACATGGAGTCATAGCGTCAACACCCGCCTCATTGTCCAGTATGTAGATGCGCACCAACGACAGGTGATATACGAAATGTCACAGGATAACGTTTTAGTTTGACTAGCTATGGGAAAGGATCTGTCTTCCTATGTCTTCTTTGGGCCTATGTGTTCTTTGTGATTTTATCCAGAACTGTTATTAACAAACTTTCACACAACACACAGTTAAAACGACTGAAATATGACCATGCTTAGATGATCTATTGGGGAAATAGTGTGGTCAGACACGCATACACACACACACTACTCTCCCTTTAGTCTCATCCTGCACGACTCAGAGCTGCGGGTGCATTCCAGAGTCAACTCCCAAAAAGCCTCGGAGGCCCAAACGAAAGGCTCTGTGTTTTCCTTTTTACGATCCAAATCCTCCTAAAGAAAACCAGCATGAAAGGAAAAGCAGCGGTCCACAACTGCTGGTCCATTAAGGCTTCAGTCTGGTGCCTGGGTCCATTGGGTTCTCGGGCTGGTTCACTGACGCTGTGCATGTTTGTGTGCCCCTGTCTCTGTCTGTCTTTCTACCTGTCTGTATGTATGCTCCGGCTGCTCTGTCAGTTTGCCAATGCTCAACTGAACACAGGACAGTCATCTATCTAGCCTCCAAAGCGTTCATCTCCACCACGATTTCCTTCTAGATTGAATTTATACAAGGCTCTCTTGTAAAATAGTTTTATCTCAATGTGACTCCCTGTTTAAATAAAGGTTAATAAAATAAATAACTGATTTGCGAAAACATGAGATGGCTTTATGCAGGGAGACTTGTCTCTGTCAGAGTTAATGACATGTTATTGTGGGCGCGGCGGTTTTGAAAACAGGGAGCTGACTGGTCACTGCAGTCCGCAGAGCAGTGCGTGCCTGTGAAAATCACTGAGACTGCATTTATTCACACTGGTCCTAATTCGAGTGGGTTTAGTGAAAATGACTGATTACCGACCACAGGTAATCTAATCCCCTTGGTGAAATAGCACTCAGGTTTATTTTTTACTGAAATAAAGCAACAGCAGTTACAGCAGACATCTGTAGCTGGTTTGGTCCTAAGTAGAGATACATGCTCAAATGTTGAAACTGCACCTCAGGAAAGCAAACTTTTTAAATTCTTAGATGCCATTGGGGTTGTTTCTTCCACTAGTGCAAATCTGAGGTTTCCCCCCTCATAGTAAATGTTTAACTGACTGGATGCACAGTGAGTGAGCTCACTGATGGTAAAGAACGATCAGTAGGCCTATGGCTAAAGCTTGTAGAATAAGTATGTGGACACAGCGCTTCACAGCTAATGCCGTCCCAAAGGGCACATAAATCAAATCAAATCAAATGTTATTTGTCACATACACGTGTTTAGCAGATGTTATTGCGGGTGTAGCGAAATGCTTGTGCTTCTAGCTCCGACAGTGCAGTAATATCTAACAAGTAATATCTAACAATTTCACAACATATACCCAATACACACAAATCTAAGTAAGGAATGGAATTTAAGAATATATACATATATGGACAAGCAATTACAGAGCGGCATGGACTAAGATACAGTAGAATATTCTAGAATACAATACAATATATACATATGAGATGAGTAGTGCAAGATATGTAAACATTATTCAAGTGACTAGTGTTCCATTTCTTAAAGTGGCCAGTGTTTCAATAGGCAGCAGCAGCCTCTAATGTGCTAGTGATGGCTATTTAACAATCTGATGGCCTTGAGATAGAAGCTGTTTTTCATTCTCTCGGTCCCAGTTTTGATGCACCTGTACTGACCTCGCCTTCTGGATGATAGCGGGGTGAACAGGCAGTGGCTTGGATGGTTGATGTCCTTTATGATATTTTTGGCCTTCGTGTATCGTCGGGTGCTGTAGGTGTCCTGGAGAGCGGGTAGTTTGCCCCCGGTAATGCGTTCGGCAGACCGCACCACCCTCTGGAGAGCCCTGTGGTTGTGGGCGGTGCAGTTGCCGTACCAGGCGGCGATACAGCCCGACAGGATGCTCTCAATTGTGCATCTGTAAAAGTTTGTGAGGGTTTTAGGTGCCAAGCCAAATTTCTTCAGCCTCCTGAGGTTGAAGAGGCTCTGTTGCGCCTTCTTCACCACACTGTCTGCGTGGGTGGACCATTTCAGTTTGTCAGTGATGTGTATGCCAAGGAACTTGAAGCTTTCCACCTTCTCCACTGCGGTCCCATCGATGTGGATAGGGGGGTGCACCCCTTGCTGTTTCCTGAAGTCCACGATCATCTCCTTTGTTTTGTTTTGTTGAGGTCGAGGTTGTTTTCCTGGCACCACACTCCCAGAGCCCTCACCTCCTCCCTGTAGGCTGTCTCGTCATTGTTGGTAATCAAGCCTACTACGGTTGTGTCGTCTGCAAATTTGATGATTGAGTTGGAGGTGTGCTTGGCCACGCAGTCATGGTTGAACAGGGAGTACAGGAGGGGGCTGAGCACGCACCCTTGTGGGGCCCCAGTGTTGAGGATCAGTGAAGTGGAGATGTTGTTTCCTACCTTCACCACCTGGGGGCGGCCCGTCAGGAAGTCCAGGACCCAGTTGCACAGGGCAGGGTTCAGACCCAGGGCCTCGAGCTTAATGATGAGCTTGGAGGGTACTATGGTGTTGAATGCTGAGCTATAGTCAATGAACAGCATTCTTACATAGGAATTCCTCTTGGGCAGTGTGCAGTGTGATGGCGATTGCATCGTCTGTGAATCTATTGGGGCGGTAAGCAAATTGAAGTGGGTCTAGGGTGACAGGTAAGGTAGAGGTGATATGATCCTTTACTAGTCTCTCAAAGCACTTCATGATGACAGAGGTGAGTGCTACGGGGCGATAGTCATTTAGTTCAGTTACCTTTGCTTTCTTGGGTACAGGAACAATGGTGGCCATCTTGAAGCATGTGGGGACAGCAGACTGGGAAAGGGAGAGATTGAATATGTCCTAAACACACTAGCCAGTTGGTCTGCGCATGCTCGGAGGACGCGGCTAGGGATGCCGTCTCGGCCGGCAGCCTTGCGGGGGTTAACATGCTTAAATGTCTTACTCACGTCGGCCACAGAGAAGGAGAGGCCACAGTCCTTGCTAGTGGGCCTCGTCGGTGGCACTGTGTTATCCTCAAAGCGGGCTAAGAAGGTGTTTAGCTTGCTAGATGTGGCTGGTTTTCCTTTTGTAGTCCGTGATTGTCTGTAGACCCTGCCACATACGTCTCGTGTCTGAGATGTTGAATTGGGACTCCACTTTGTCTCTATACTGATGTTTTGCCAGTTTTATTGCCTTTGGGAGTGAGTAGCTACACTGTTTGTATTCTGGCATATTCCCAGTCACCTTGCCATGGTTAAATGCGGTGGTTCGCGCTTTCAGTTTTGCGCGAATGCTGCCATCTATCCACGGTTTCTGGTTAGGGTAGGTTTTAATAGTCACATTGGGCACAACATCACCTATACACTTCCTGATAAACTCAGTCACTGTTTCAGTGTATTCATCAAATTTATTTTCGCAAGCTACCCGGAACATATCCCAGTCCGCGTGATCAAAACAATTTTGAAGCGTGGATTCCGATTGGTCAAACCAGCGTTGAAGAGTCCTTAGCACGGGTACTTCCTGTTTGAGTTTCTGCCTATAGGAAGGGAGGAGCAAAATGGAGTCGTGGTCAGATATGCCGAAAGGAGGGCGGGGGAGGGCCTTATAACCATCCCGGAAGTTCGAATAGCAATGGTCGAGGATTTTAGCAGCCCGAGTACAACAGTCGATATGTTGATAGAACTTCGGCAGGCTAGTCCTCAAATTTGCTTTGTTAAAATCCTCGGCTACAATAAATGCAGCCTCAGGATATGTGGTTTCCAGTTTGCATGAAGTCCAGTGAAGTTCTTTGAGGGTCGTTGTGGTATCGGCTTGAGGGGGGATATACACGGCCGTGACTATAACCAAAGAAAATTATCTTGGGAGAAAATTTGGTCGGCATTTGATTGTGAGATATTCTTGGTAGGGTGAACAGAAAGACTTGAGTTCCTGTATGTTACTACAATTACACCATGAGTCGTTAATCATGAAACACACACCCCCGCCCTTCTGCTTCCCGGAGAGATATTTATTTCTGTCTGCGCGATGAACTGAGAACCCATCTGGCTGGACCGATTCCGACAGAATATCCCCAGAGAGCCATGTTTCCGTGAAACAGAGTATGTTACAGGCCTTGATGTCTCTCTGGAAAGAAATCTTTGCCCTTAGCTCGTCGACCTTGTTATCCAAAGACTGAACATCAGCGAGTAGTATACTTGGAAGCGGTGGGTGGTGTGCGCGCCTCCTAAGTCGAACCAGCAGGCCGCTCCAAGTGCCTCTCCTCTGCCGGCGATGTTTTGGGTCAGCCGCTGGAATCAGTTCAATTGCCCTGGGGAGAGCAAACAAAGGATCTGCTTCTGGAAAGTCGTATTCCTGGTCGTAATGCTGGTGAGTTACCGCCGCTCTGATATCCAATAGTTTTTCCCGGCTGTATGTAATGATACAAAACACTTTCTGAGCTAATAATGTAAAAAATAATACATAAAGAAACAAAATACCTTAAGAGCTAGTCGGCGCCAAGTTTACCAATGAAAAGGAGAGACTGAGGGAAAAATGTAAGGTGATTTATATCTCTTTTCCATGTCTGCACTTTTGCCTCCCAGTCTCTCTGCTTTTCTATGGCTAAAGCTCATACAGAGATTCAGCATGGCTAGAATTACCTCTCGTTCAACCCACCAACAGTATGTCAAGCCTGATGAAGCAAGAACACTGAGAAAACTTCACTTCCTTGTTTTGACGGGTGATTTCACAACATTTATCACAGCCGTGATTCAACGCGCCTCCAAAAACACTGACGCTGCACTCGTTATTTCTGTACTGTTTGCAGCTATATGTGCTGCAGCAACCTCAACCGTCTTGTTTTCGCTTCGATTAGTTCTTCCTTTGAGTTTAGATGGTGGTAGCAAATATGCCCAGGCTGGTTTGAACTGAGCCAGGACATGCAACAGTAGTCTGGTCCCAAATATGTTTGTACTGAATGACCTGGAATTGGCAAGATGGCACAAAGACATCTGGGACCAGGCTAAAGTAGTCTCGGAAATCCCAGACCTTGGAGCAACGGCACAAAGTCGGGGGAGGATGTTGAATTCTTTTGGACATTTTCGAAAGGGGAGAAAAATAATTCCGCGGTGGGTCCTCTTCAGACAGACAACTCTCCAAAGAAATCAGAAGGTCGGGTAGGCGGAGCTTAAAATGTGGGCGGGAATTGTGCTCATGTTTAGCTAGGGCAACAAGCGGATACGGCAGTGATGTAACCGGTGACGCGTGTCCCATTTCCGACTCGTCCTCTCTATCCCAACTGACTGACTTCCACAGACGTGTACATTGTGGGAGGCAACCCATCTGTCTAGAGAGACTAACGCTAAAGCAACACCACGCCAACCATGCCACATGGCTAAGATGGCGCCGACGGAGGGTGCTTCGACTCAAGCTCCAATAAAACATTGCAGGTTTCAATTTTTTGTTTTTTTATTATTGTATTTTGAGACAGGCTTGAATAAGGTAAGTAGCCAATAGGCAGAGGGTAGCATAATTTGTCTGATTCTCTCCCATAATGGTATGGGAATAATTATGCATTTATTTTGTAAAGTGGTTTCTTGCATCAAACAACACAACATTTTCAGTCATTAAACAGGTTAATGTCAAGCCCTGCATTTTTTTTCAGAAGTCTCATGGAATGTAGGCCTACATTGAACACCACACATTGGCTGCTACTGTAGGCTGAACTATAGAACAGCTATTTCCATGTTAAAATGTTTTGATGATGTTGAAATGATGCATTTTCTCCATTGTTTTTGATGGTAGGCCACTGGTATGATCAAATAGCCGCAGTAGCCTACTTGACCACTGTTAAAACGAACTTAAAGCGGGTACAGTCTCACTGTTCACAGTAAATGCGCCGGAAGTTGCACAGATTTTCACAACATTACCTCCTCGAGACTGATTCTCAACACTGTGGCCCCATAAGGGTGCATACTCAGTCCCCTCCTGTATTCCCTGTAACCCACGACTGCGTGGCCTCACACAATTCCAACTCTATCATCAAGTTCGCTTACGACACGACAGTAATAGGCCTGATTACCAACAACGACGAGACGGCTTACAGCAGTGTTCCACAACTGACACCGGTGGTTTTATTTGGCTCCCCAAGTTTTCAGATTTTTATAATTTATACATTTAATTGTTGGACATAAAAGACTGTAAAAACACCAGGAAATCAGCTCCAATTGATTTTAACTTTGGAAATCTGTTCCCAAGTATTCCCACGCAGGCAAGTTGCAGTCTACAAATGGTTAGTAATTATGTTCAAGAAAAGATCATCCCTCAACGTCAGCAAAACAAAGGAGCTGATTGTGGACTTCAGGAGGAACCAGGCTGGTTCGGGGCCACCGTGGAGACGGTCAACTTAAAATTCCTCTGCGTACACATCACAGAGAAGCTGAAATGGTCAAACCACACAGACACCGTGGTGAAGAAGGCACGACAGCAACTCTTCAACCTCAGGATGCTGAAGAAATTCGGCCTGTCCCCGAGGGCCCTCACAGTGTTCTACAGGAGCACCATCGAGAGCATACTGTCGGCTGCATCACAGCCTGGTAAGGCAACTCCACCGCCGCGGACCGCAAGAGGGTGATACGCGCAGCCAAACACACCATTGGGTGCACACTGCCTGCCCTCAAGGACACCTAAAACACCAGGTGTCGCAGGAAGGCCAAGAAGATAATCAGGGACCCCAGCCACCCGAGCCATGCCCTGTCCCTGCTTTCATCACTCAGACGCGGGCAGTACAGGAGCATCATGGCGAAAAACTGGAAGATTAACAAATAGTTTCTACCCCAAGACCATCAGGCTGCTGAATAGCCACCACTAGTCAGCTACCTGCTCCCCCCTGCTGCTCTCCCTATGGATATTTTCCCCCCACCCCCCTCAACTTAATTTTACTCTACCGCACCCAAATGACATTCATCACTTTTGCAGTTGTTAATATGTATATTATTATTTACAAAAATATAAATGCAACGTGACGATTTCAACGATATTACTGAGTTAGAGTTCATATAAGGAAATCAGTCAATTTAAATAAATTAGGCCCTAATCTATGGATTTCACATGACTGGGCAGGGGCACAGCCATGGGTGGGCCTGGGAAGGCATAAACCCACCCACTGGGGAGCCAGGCCCAGCCAATCAGAATGTGTTTTAGCCCACAAAAGGGCTTTATTACAGACTTATTAAATACTCCTCAGTGTCAGCAGCTGTCCGGGTGGCTTGTCTCCGATGATCCCGCAGGTGAAGAAGATGTGGAGGTCCTGGCCTGGCGTGGTAACATGTGGTCTGCGGTTGTGAGGCCGGTTGGACGTAATGCCAAATTCTCTAAAACAACGTTGGAGGCGGCTTATGGTAGAGAAATTAACATTAAATTCTCTGGCAACAGCTCTGGTGGACATTCCTGCAGTCAGCATGTCAATTGCACGCTCCCTCAAAACTTGAGACATCAGTGGCATTGTGTTGTGACCAAACTGCACATTTTAGAGTGGCCTTTTATTGTCCCCAGCACAAGGTGCACCTGTGTAATGATCATGTTGTTTAATCAGCTTCTTGATATGCCACAACTGTCAGGTGGATGGATTATTTTGGCAAAGGAGAAATGCTCACTAACAGGGATGTAAACAAATATGTGCAAGAGAAATAAGCTTTTTGTGCGTATGGAAAATTTCTGGGATCTTTCTGGGATCTCATGAAACATGGGACCAACACTTTTTACATGTTGTGTTTATTTTTGTTCAGTATGTGTGTATATGTGTATATATATATATATATATATATATATATATATATATTTTTTTTTTTTTTCACTTGGTCCCCACACCTCCTCAATGGTAATTTAGTCTGACTGCTGCTCCTCCTATGGTCATTACCCCACCCCCTCAACAATCTTTACTCTGCCTCCACCCCAACGGACATTTATTTATTCATCACTGCTACAGTATTTCTATTGTTGTTTTTTATTATAATTTTCATTGTTTTATTTAACTTAATCCTGTATGTTGGAGCTCGGAGCCTAAGGTTTTCACTGTACCCTGCAATCATACTGCAACCCTGTACATGTGACTATTAAACACTGAATCTGAACAAAATCAGCGTTGTGGCTAGGTGACAAAAGGGACAGATCTGGGCACGTTGGCATCTTCAAGTGGCTTGACGCAAATTCTTGGCAGCATCGGGGCAACCCAAGTAACCTTTCACCCCCCCAACCTTATCCCATTGTGTCCAATCAAAAACCCATTGGCGACGTGCCCCGTTGTCCTCGTGTTGTCATGTTTCGCTCGACGACGCCTAACTTTCACACTGCCTGCAAGACAATAGGCCGTGACACTCTGTCTGAGAGCTAGTGGGGAGTGTCGTCTGAGTGACCTCCAACACGACACTTGAACCTATCTCTGTCCATTATGCGTAACATCTCTCACTTGTGAGTGTGAATGTGACTGTCTGACAACCCAGTGAACCCACCTTCGTATCTCTATCTTCCTCTCTTCTCTCTCACACTTAATATCTCTGTCTCTCTCCCCTCTCTCTTTCACAGATTGTGATAGCCAAGTCACCTGTGGCCCCGTTTGCTGTTCTAAACTACACCGTCCAGAAGGAGGGCATCCGTCTAGAGGGTGAGTGGATAGTCAGTCAGCTGGCTGTGCAGATGGCCTCCCTGTACTGAAGCTGACTTCCCAGCCACTTACTGTATTTTATACAACGGTGCTTTTTCTGGTTGACTACATCTTCTTCACCCAATGTACAAAACCTGTGACCCTGTCTTGCGTTTGGTCTAAAAAGAGCAAAAAACCCGACTGTCAGGGCTTTATGGTCATATGACTATGATTTTAGGAAACTTGAGAGCAGGTTTTCTCCTTATGGAAATATTACCTTAGAGCAGCTCTCTGTTCTTTCTTGGAATAAAAAGACTGGCTGTTGCATATTCCAATAGTACATTCAGTGAACAGGAAGAGAGGAGTGAAAGAGGAGCTCTCCTTCTCCTTTGCTCCCACCTGCCCCCTCCCCTCCCCTCTCATCCCCCCATTTTCCCATCTGTAGTATCTGACCACTGAATAAACCATAGATTCCCCCTCAGGACAGATATGCCCTTCAAGCTGCTCACCATAACTCACTTGGCTGTTTTCACTCCGAATCTGAAACCTGAAATCTTATTGGAACACGGTAACATAAATCAAAGCCTAAAAGAGCGTGTGGTGACGGTTGGAGGGGTGTGGGTGGGTGCATTTTGGTGTGTGTGTGTGGGGTTTTGGAGTCGTAACCTGTTTAACCTGCGCACCCCCACTGCCTCTCTGTCAGAGTTCATTAGTTGGAACCGTTTGATTTACCCACAAGCCCTCAGGCCCCTGTTGATCTATGTGTGTGCCAGACACCGCTAAAGTTTTATAGGAAATGTAATATCACAAAATAACATTCTGTTTAGGGAGGGGGGTACACTATATAGTTTTTTCCACGCTTTAGTATATTGAGCATTGCATTGGAAAAATAGGCCTAGTTGTACTTATTCTTCACAAGGAGATTTAGAATCTCTACGAAGTACTCCTCGTGACTTGTTTCTACCTATCATCATCCATGTGTGAATGTACAGTAGGATCCAAACGATTGACACCCTTGATGAAGATGAGCAAAAATGACTGTATAAAATAAATAATTCAAATACTGAGCTATATTGTATGCTCAAAAAAATTGGGAAATAATTTTATTATATAATTGCACAGAGAAAGATATATTGTTTAACAAGTAGCCTTTTTTTCCTCAAAGGTAGGGGTCAATACCTTTCAATACCTCACCTTGTGAGGATAATGGCACTGAGCCTTTTTCTAAAACATTTTATGAGTTGGAGAACACATTGGGAGGGAGTTTAAACCATTCCGCCATACAGAATCCTTCCAGATCCTTGATATCCTTAATCTGCGCTTATGGACTGCCCTCTTCATTTTAAACCACTGGTTTTCAATGGGTTTGAAGTCCGGAAACCGAGATGGCCATTGCAAAATGTTGGTTTTGTTGCCAATTAACCATTTCTTTGTGGATTTATTGTCCAGGAGGCTGAAACTTGGCTGCAAGTGGACCTTCCAGCAAGACAATTCTCCCTTGTCGGGAGTTGTCACACGATAATTCCCGGGTTCTCAGGCATTATTGCTTACGTTTTTTTATTATTTATTTTATGCAGTCATTTTTGCTAATCTTTATTAAGGGTGTCAATATGAAAATAGAGCTCACGATTGTGTGGCCACGCACGACTCCCAACTCCATCATCAAGTTTGTTGACGACACAACGGTGTTCGGCCTGATCACCAACGGCGATGAGACAGCCTACAGAGAGGAGGTCAGCGACCTGGCAGTGTCGGCCAGGACAACAACCCCTCCCTCAATGTCAGCAAGAAAAAGAAGCTGATCGTAGACTTCAGGAAACGGGCGTGTGCTCACCCCAATCCACATCGACGGGGCTATAGTGGAGAGGGTCAAGATCTTCAAGTTCCTCGGTGTCCACATCACTTAGGACTTAAAATGGTCCTCTCACACCAGCACAGTCATGCTTCTGCAGTGCCTCTTCTCCCTCAGGAGGCATGGCCACTCAGATCCTTACAAACCTTTACAGCTGCTCCATCGAGAGCAACCTTACTGGTTGTATCACCGCCTGGTATGGCGGAAGGCCCTACAGAGGGTGGTGCAGATGGCCAATGAATCACTTGGGGAGAGCTCCCAGCCATCCAGGACATACATGCCAGGCGGTGTCTGAGAAAGGCCAGATAAATTGCCAAATTTAAATTTAAAAAATCCTCATCAATCGACACACAATACCCCATAATGACGAAGCGAAAATGGGTTTTTAGAATTTTTTGCAAATTTATAAAAAATTAAAAATAGAAATACCTTATTTACAGAAGTATTCAGACTCTTTGCTATGAGACTCGAAATTGAGCTCAGGTGCATCCTGTTTCCATTGATCATCCTTGAGATGTTTCTACAACTTGATTGGAGTCCACCTGTGGTAAATTCAATTGATTGGACATGATTTGGAAAGGCACACGTCTGTCTATATAATGTCCCACAGTTGACAGTGCTTGTCAGAGCAAAAACCAACACATGAGGTCGAAGGAATTGTCCGTAGAGCTCCGAGACAGGATTGTGTCGAGGCACAGATCTGGGGAAGGGTACCAAAAAAGTTCTGCAGCATTGAAGGTCCCCAAGAACACAGTTGCCTCCATCATTCTTAAATGGAAGAAGTTTGGAACCACCAAGACTCTTCCTAGAGCTGGCCGCCCGGCCAAACTGAGCAATCGGGGGAGAAGGGCCTTGGTCATGGAGGTGACCAAGAACCCAATGGTCTCTCTGACAGAGCTCCAGAGATCCTCTGCTGAGATGGGAGAACCTTCCAGAAGGACAACCGTCTCTGCAGCACTCCACCAATCAGGCCTTTATGGTAGAGTGGCCAGACGGAAGCCACTCCTCAGTAAAAGGCACATGACAGCCCGCTTGGAGTTTGCCAAAAACCACCTAAAGGACTCTCAGACCATGAGAAACAAGATTCTCTGGTCTGATGAAACCAAGATTTACTTCTTTGGCCTGAATGCCAAGCGTCACATCTGGAGGAAACCTGGCACCATCCCTACGGTGAAGCATGGTGGTGGCAGCATCATGCTGTGGGGATGTTTTTCAGCAGCAGGGACTGGGAGACTAGTCAGGATCGAGGGAAAGATGAACGGAGCAAAGTACAGAGAGATCCTTGATGAAAACCTGCTCCAGAGTGCTCAGGACCTCAGACTGGAGCGAAGGTTCACCTTCCAACAGGACAATTACCCTAAGCACACAGCCAAGACAACACAGGAGTGGCTTCAGGAGAAGTCTCTGAATGTCCTTGAGTGGCCCTGCCAGAGCCCGGACTTGAACCCAAACAAACATCTCCGGAGAGACCTGAAAATAGCTGTGCAGCTACGCTCCCCATCCAACCTGACAGAGCTTGAGAGGATCTGCAGAGAAGAATGGGAGAAATTCCCCAAATACAGGTGTGCCAAACTTGTAGTGTCATACCCAAGAAGACTCGAGTCTGTAATCGCTGCCAAAGGTGCTTCAACAAAGTACTGAGTAAAGGGTCTGAATACTTATGTAAATGTGATATTTCAGTTTTTATTTTTTTATAAATGTGCAAAAATGTCTAAAAACCTGTCTTTGCTTTGTCATTATGGGGTATTGTGTGTAGATTGATGAGGGGAAAAAATGATTTAATCAATTTTAGAATAAGGCTGTAACGTAACAAAATGTGGAAAAAGTCAACGGGTCTGAATACTTTCCGAATGCACTGGTATTTATTACCACTGGTATATTACCATAAGTATATTATAAGCATTTATATATTCCTGATACCAGTCACTTTTCAGCCCTGTTTACATGTATATCTGCCTATCACCCCTACACTGACACTCTTGCACACAAACACATTCACAATAACACACACACACACCCACCCACCACTTATGCTGCTGCCATACTGTTCACTATTATTATTAGTATCTATCCTGCTACCAGTCACTTTCTTCTAATCCCCCTGCTTACATGTACATATCTACCTCAAACTACTCCAGTATCCCTGCACATTGTACATTTTGTATTGGCACAGACCCTGTATATAGCTTCCTTTCTTATTTATTGTGTTTTCTATAGATAGATAGATAGATAGATAGATAGATATTAGGGCTGTTAAACGGTTAAAATAAGGAATCGCATTAGATTCTGTAGTTAATCGCACATTTTTTATTTGATTAAATTTGGTGCTAAATATAGTTTTTTTTCCTTTTCTATTTTGCAGGCATGTAGGGACTGAACACAAAAATATTCTGTATCAGAATGTTTTTAATGGCATATTCACCATAAATAAGTTAAGCAATACAAAAGTCCTGTAACTTAATAATGCTCCCAGTGGGCCTACTAATGCGCCCTCATAAATTATCTCACACACACACACACACATACACACAGTTAAAGCTTCAGCCATTCCAAATGATTGTTCTACCAATTACTGATTTGGAGGGTTGGCTATAAGAAAAAAAGAACTGGATCAATGGATAGAAAGAGCATAAACCTGTCCAACAATGTCATGAATTCCACAGAACATAAACCTGTGACCATACACTTCAGTCGACCTCCTATTTTTTTTCACTGAGCCAGTTTCAAAGACAAACAAGCCTGTTTACATTTTCAGGTGATAAAGCTGCTCTCTTTTTTTGTACGATATGCCCAGAGAGTGAAAACAACCTCTCAAGGTACTGATGTGGCAGGCGTTGCCAGGTACCTTCATGCTATGCAGGCCAGCCTGGTGTGTGCCCCTGCATGCTGTGACCACCACTGTGGTGGACAGTCCTCCATGTTGATGCTGGGATCTGATTTGTAACGCTCCACACATTTCTCAATGGACTCCTCTTCATCAGAGTCAGACTCAGAAGAACCCAACAAAAGGGGACCTTTCTTATTTGGTGGCTCTGACTCAGTTGCTTTATCAGGTTGCTGTGCAGGCCTCTCTTCCTTCAGTAAGTTGCTGACCAAAGCCCACACCTCACCCCTCTCAGGTCTGGGAAGGCACTTCAGGTCCTTAAACCTTGGGTTGAGTGCTGTTGCGATCTTCAGCCATGTGAGGTTGGTGTTTTCCTTGCGTTTTTCCAGGTCTGT